TGGAAGGAGTCTGGTTCAAACCACTATGTCAGTTTGACTAGTAAAAGAGAGAGACCAATCCACGTTTTAAATATAGCTGTTTTTAAATGTGCTATCGACATCCTCACCAAAGTTAGTTAGCTCTCACAAACAATATTCAACCCCCGAGCAGGTTTACCGTACACATCTTACAGCGACATACGCTAATTTAGAGCGTACTCACCAGGACATTGTTTGAACGTCCACTAATAGCAAAAAGTATCGTTTTGCTTAACACGATCGGTGAGTTTACGCACGAATCACTTAGGCGATGTGTTGAAAATGGTTTAGAACGCGGATCAATGGATGTGGAATCATTGTGTATGTTTGTTTGGAGTGCTACCGACACACATGGTATGTCGAAGTAAACTGAGTGACCTTGACCTGAATATCCGGTCAGCATGAATAGCCGATTCAAACTTTACTTCATGTCAAGAATCCAATTGTTTGTTTGTACGACCGTGACTGTCTTTCAAGACCGACTTAACGGGCTAGCATTAAGTCAAGTCACATGGAGCTTTGTGCAGCTGCTGCTATATGCCCCCATTTGGGTCGTGAAAGCTGAATCAAAGACCTGGGTTGTAAGTGCCTTTGCTGCTGAACAAGATACTAGTGAGGCCTACTAGCTGCCAACACGGAAAATCTCAATCGGGGGTGAATAAGTTAAATGTTATGACGGTCTTTTGACACAAAACATTGACGAGTTTGATTTAATGTACGAATAGAGAGCGTAAAATGGAAACAACTTTAAAAGTGTTTCATATAAAAAGGTATACATGAGGAGGCCTGCTACCAGAGTGCATAAGTTGTGATCTATTTGGCGACAGTTATTTCCCGGGAGATAATTCATGCTACCAAAAGACATTGTTTTCTGTTTTTGAATTAACGTTTACAGCTGTCAGTGTATTTTCGAACTTCGTCGACATCGTGCATGAACGTTTTTATGCCCTTGATCAGTATTGAATCTAACTCTACCTCGATAATTTCCCGAAACATTTGCTTCCTCCGCCTGTGCACTTTTGATCTCCAATCGTTTTGCTTATCTGTGACCGTCACTCATCTTGCCACGAAGGCCTTCCGTCTGACGCTTGTGTACTAGCGTACTAGCGCGAAGTTGACCTACGTGCACGTGCTCCTTAACGTCCCGTTTGCTGAACCTGCCTGAACTTGCTATCACATGAGTTTCGTGTGATCGCATCATCAATGAGAATCACGACCTCAAACCAAACTACTGAGCCAAAATTTCGCTCACCATGGTTCGCTTTGCGAACGTTGACACTGCATAGTGCAGTCAGTAGCAGACTTGTGCACTTGTCGACGCTATGAACGTGGACAACTGAGGTCTGTCGAATAAATCTGCTTACCCTTGTGTAAATAGTACCGTAGCTTTTCGAACCCCAATCTTCTGTTTAATATTCGGGTTCCTTATCAGGAACCCCAACATCATGTATTCCCAGTGATTTGAAGCATATCCTTCAGGTCAGTATGCTTAACATCCCAAACACATATGCGTCTGTACTGTACCAAGGCTACACGTATTAAAAATAAGTGTATTCCTCGGAAGGCATTTTTGATTTCGTGTCTCTCCAAGGGGGTTTAGCGAAAATCCCGCAGACATCTTTTGCACTGAAATTAAATTTCACGATTCCCAGTCTCAGTGACAAAAACACACTTTCTGTGGGAGTATTGTTTCCTTCTGAAAATCAAACGGTGGTGAATTCCTGGATTGTAACCTCGCACAGTTTTGGTAGTTGTCCCTCAGGGTACACGCATTCAGGTGCATCATTGAACAGCTAATGGAATGAAAACGGACAAGACTAATAATGGACCTCTTCTGGCAAGAAGTGAGTCGCGCCCCACTGATACCATCTACTTAGAACATAGGTTCGTAGGATATTGATTGTATACCCTTCTAAAGATCTACTGAGCTTTTGGGTCTACAAATGTTGCACATCGCACAACCCACCTTTAAGGCTTAATGAGTGGTTGAACGGCCCGTGTGGGTATCGACCGGTGCTGAAGGATCCAGGGCTACAGTACTAGCCATATACAACGTCCAATTGTTTATAAGAATGTCAATGTGTTTTTATACGATTACAAAGCCTGTCATGACCCAATGACAACTCGAATCCCGATTGTTGGAGATCCGTTAGAACAGACTTAGTGTGCCGCATGAAAAATCATGGAGGAAGTTATCTCTAAAAGAGCAACAATACCTTTGCAGTTCTTTGTTCAAGTTATGTAAGCTAGTTGTTTTCATGTGGACAAAGTCTGTTTTGGGCTATACTGGGAAGGGACTGTCTAAAATTTGTCGGTGTCGCAACGCACCACGTGACACTACGTTAGAAAATCGTGTTAGGCTTTGCGCAGCTGCAAATAAGAAACACCAACTATACACTGTTTAAATGATCTCTTGCCAATGGAACATTTCGTCGAAAAACTAGTTTAATAGAACGCTTGATCTCCTAGCATAAACTGATTTGTTATGTTTTAACGGCAGTTTTCGGAACACCTGGGGTTTACTGCATGCCTTAACCGCCTGAAACTGGGAGATGTTGACCTAGCTGGCATACTGAGGCTAAAGTTGAATCGAGATGTTAGTTTATAGCTCACATTTTGGAACTGAATAAACCACATTTTGTCAGCGAGAAATGTGATTAATTGCATCCGGTTCTTAAAAACTACACGACAGCAGCTTTAGAAAGCTGTTTGCTTGTCATTCGCAAAGTCGGCATTACATGGTTGGCGGTACGGATAAGGATGCCAAATGTGATACCATTTTTAACCACCACTAGTGGAAATGAATGTAAGCCGAGTATGCAAATTTTATGGGAAAAGCCTGCATAAAAATTATTCGCAGTCTACAAAATCAGGAAACAACGATAATGACCTCTTTTCATAAGAAAGGCCACTCATCTCTTCTTAAGTTAGAGGTGTTTTCTACGAAATGTTTCGGTCCAGAATAAAACCAAAGCCTGGGGAAGGAAATCATATATTTCTCTCTATCCAATACAGCGTCATTCATAAACCTCATAAGCAGGCGGGTTCCCCTGAACTGTACGATAGCTATGGAACAAGCTGGGCGAATCATCGCTTGATTCGCTATCTCACCAGAAAAAGCATCTCCATAAATGAATCCTCCTTCGTTGGATACATGAGTCCCGAATTCATGTTTACTTCATAGGTTTAGGGGTTTACAACCGTGTGCAAATATGGTGATAGCTCTACTCCCCCTTCGAAGAGCATATAATCATAAATTTCTGGGAAAAGGCACTCCTCAAGGTAGCCATTTCCCTCCTGTCCTTTTAAGTTAAACCAGTAATGATCCAATTTCAACCATCAGCAAACCTGGAATTCCTGCTGACTGATTACCTGAATCGTGTCATTATTCCTTCGAAATTTTTTTCAGTGGAGTGTTCTTATAGATATAGAATACTATATTCAAAGTAGGAAGAAACGAAGGGTTTCTTCGGATTACTTCTTAAATTGAAGTTTTCCACGAAGGGGAAAAAACACATCATAAGAATCCTTGAAGGGTGTTAATGAATCCAAAGCTATTCTGGTATGAAATGTCTATTTACTTGACTTCGACCAGCCCTCATGCACCAGCTGCTGTCTTATGATGCGATCCAAAGAATTCCCCTAGTAAGTACCGTGAGCCAAACCCAAAATAAAACACCAATTAAAAGTATTTCTGGAGCTATTTTCTGCCGGAGAGCAAGCAAAATACGTTGAATAGCTTCTTGAATGACAAAAATCGGTTGTCTAGAACTTGACCAAAATACCACACTTTAATTTAGGATACCAGTGAATTTATCGGAGCCAAGAAAATGTGAAAAACATATAGTTCTAATGATGTGGCACTGCGACTTGGACATTCTATTCACCACTCCTCCAGCCGAAAAAAGACTAAAAAAATCAGTTACTTGGTCAGATGCTCTCAAGACAAGTCCGAAAGACCAAAGTATTGTAAACTAAATAAGTTGAAAATATTTTGCGCCCTTTGGAAGGACTCCAAGGTTGACTCACCCTAAAGGCAAGCTACCCATAGGAGAGCCAGAGGAATGTATTTCCCAGTAGTTTTCAGGTAGAGTTACCATATTTAGTGGTCACTCGCATTTCCTACAATAATTCATGTAATTCCCCGGTGGTCACATTTATTCCGCTACAATTGGGTGGGAGCATACCCTAAATACCTGTATCATTCCAACGTCTCATCTGGGCTTCGGAACAGCAGTTCACGAATGAGTAACTGTCTTCTGGTAAACTTCATACTAGCCCGTAAAGTCGTTCTTGGTAGACAGCCACGGTCGTACGGATATCGTTCCCGCGGATCACCGTATTTTCTTCAAACAGTCGGATTCTGGACATGGAATGAAGTTTGTATCGGCCCTTCATGCTGACCGGACATTCAGGTCAAGGTCATTCAGTTTACTTCGACATACCATGGAATGTCTTCGCACCGCCCGTGGCCGGTGCATTCTTGCGTGCAGCCTTGGTAACGGGGTGCTTCCTCGGGACCTTGTCATCGGTATACTTACGGGTGGTCTTTTCGGTGCATGCCACCTCTGTGAACTGTATCTGCCAATCTATCATCATAAGTTGTGTGTACCAGAAGATTTGGCCTACGCAAGGTTTGCCTGTGCTAACTCCCAACAGGCCATCGCTTTCAATAAGTTCTTTTGCCCTGAGCAAAACATCATTCCCACTTTCACAGCCTGCATTACGCTGTAAAGAGACTTTGTGTGAGACCACAAGATGAACTGCGAACGGGACAAGACACTTTTCAATAATGCAGCCATGCGTTCAAATGTGAGTACAATGTGAAAAGCAGACTATCAGTAAGGACTCAATTTTATCCAGGCGATTGCTTTCGTTGGAATGATTGAAATTTTCCGAATAGTGGTTGCAAAAAAGCATCCTTATTCAGCATTCGATGTTAAATAATAAGAGGATAATAATCGATAACAATTAGAACTCACCTGGCTGGTTTGATTTGTCCCATTTTTCTCACCCGCACTGTGCAGAATGTGACACGAGGGAATTTGCCTGAAGTTTCCCAATCCTTCCCACTCACAATATCGTTTAAGACTTCTACACCAAACATGGTACTGTTTGTTCCGATGAAATGTTTCATAAGATAAATCTGACCAACAGAGTTTCCAATAAAACAAAACCGTACAATAAAGAAAAGAAACGTGATCCGAGTGTTCGGTCTAAGCTGACAGAGGAATCGTTTCAGACCACTGGTCATTCGCCTGTATCTGGCTGTTGATTCGGCCTGTTCTTCGAGCGTGGCCACAAGGCAGGAAATGGCTTTTTGGCGTAATTCCCTGTCTGGCACCGAAGCTTCTTTTGCCGAGCGAAGTAGAATAGGCAACCGTTTGGAACCAACTCGCCACAGTAAGTAGGGAACCCAACTGAGCATCACCTGACCTGCTAATACGATGGCTATCCACTGGTAGTAGCCAATGTGTTTGACCTTGGTTAATTCGTAGTCGTCTTCGGGTACATTGTCGCTTGGATGTAGGAAGTAGGTGTTCTGCACCCAACAAAGGTTTTCGGCATATTCTTCCCAGGAGTGAGTGAATTCCTGTGGAACCCAGCACTGAATCGGTTTCCCTAAAAATAACAACAAAACTTCGGTTTACTGCAGATTAGCGACACGAAAGAGATGGTTAGGTACGTATGCAGGAAAATTCAGGTCAATTATTTCCAAGCGACTCAGAAAGTATGCTTTCTGATTTATTGCACTTTTGCCTACCTACTTTCTCCGCTACGCTTGCCTAATTAGTGTTTAGGATTTTCGTGCCTCTTTTGTCTGCTATGCAGATTGGCCGCTGCGATTACTAATCAAACAAGCTTGACAAGTTTATGCTCTTCCGGTCATAAATAACTGCACAACCATACATAACAAAACTTACTTGTTTGTAATGGATTCGGTTATTCAAGTGCATGGCATCAGTGAAACAATATCGATAGATAATGTTGACTGTTTTCGACTGAGCCTACCTAACTGGCAGCGGCAGAATGTGACAATGAACGAATGCTTTGGAGTACAATACACCGTCACGAAAGAGGATGATCGGAGGGTGACAAGGTTGCCTCGGCTAGAGGGTTTGCGAAGGCGATCAATTCGAGGTATCTCCGGTGACTTCTTCAGCTGACCAAAAATATCGAAGGTTTTCAACCACTTCTAATGGTGTGAAGTGGATTTTCCAGCTCTGCTGAGCGAGTCTTCCAAAAACATTAAAATGAAACGGCAATGAAACCGCATAGTTGTGGCTATTCCCACCACCGGGGTTGGGAACAGAAGACAATTCTATTTGGAAGGGTTAATTAAAACCACTTGATTATCTGATGTTCACATTTAACCAAGTTTCACTTTTTGCACTGTGAAACCTCAGTTTACCTTTCAAATCAACATCATGTTCCAACTTGGTTCTACGTTAAACTTTAGATTCTCGCGAATCACGCAAATCCTATTAGCGTCGTAGGGATCGTCAATCAGCATTTTGGACGGCCGTATGTCATTCTCTATATCTGGGATAAAAACAAAGGACACTTTTGCGAAGGTGCATTCTCGAGGAAAATTGACCAATTTTAGAATCCAACTAATCTTTTGTTCGGTTCCAGAGGGAATAGCTTATTCCTCTCGAGGATGGCCAAGCACGTAAAAGACAGTCTTTTTTAAACTGCACCGTATGCCATGCAGCATAACGACTAACTAACTGTGTTTTACAGTACTTTCTAAATGTGTCTTGCGCATCTTTAGCTGCCTAATTCAATTAAAAGAGTAAAACGTTGTCCTGATGAACAGGTGGGCATTTCTCTCCCCCTCCCTCCCCCCAAGACTGACAAAATAACATGACTACTGGCATATCACCATCGACGTATCCAAGGAGTACAGAGCCATCGAGGCATGCGTGTTAGTTTGTGAAGGCAGACTAAACCTGTCTTGAAAACCAGGAGCTAGGTGTTCAAAACCACGCATGCTCATAGTACAGAATTCGGAGGAATTAGTGATGAGATTAGGACCAAAAACATTTTTTCACTCTCAGGGATATTGCAGCGCACTCTGTTAAGGGGTAGTTTATTACTCCTAGCAGTGGCATAGTTTGAAACCCCGTTTCCTCCTTCTAATGATCCTTTCAAGCTTAACTCCGGACGCTGGTATACTGAAAAGTAATCATCGGTGTCCTCCAATTAGTAATCCATAGAAAAACAATTTTCGCTTTCTGAGAACAACACAGATCCATACTATAAGGACAACGGGTTTTGATGACGTTCATCCAGGATGATATCCATTCAACCTCCAGATTGTAATCAGTCATCTATTTACCAGTCATCTTCTCTGGAAGGCTCCTGTTGTTACACTTTTTACTTTTCCCAAGAACAGGCGCACCTTCACATATCATCTGGTCATTCTTAGTTTGGGGGCTTCAGCGGCAATCAATGCAACTTAACCGTGAGTTCTTTTCTGGTGTGCAATACATCTTAATCATTGGGGCCGTAATCTCAGGCTCGTGAGATTAGCTTTCCATTTCCGCTACAAACAAAAGCTTACCGACTTGAGGAAAAAGGTTCCGCCCAGTTGGTGAGTTACTGCTCAGCTACACCGGTTTCACTCTACCTACCGCTAATATACGACGCACTGACAAGTGATTTCATGCCTATCGGTAATAGTTAGAATCGCAAGATGATCCTAGCAAATGAAGGTTACAAACACTGGTTGGATTTATTGCTATGTAGAACCAAGTTACAGTGTGCTGTAGTATTTGATTTCCCTGCCAGAGATGTCGGCATAAATGTTTCATTAAATGCGGACTTTCACTGATTACACAGTATTGCTCAGATCAGCTTGGCCATCTTTCTACGCCACCATTCTTACCTCCCTTCTCATACCATGAAGGACTGCCACATTTTAGCGTACTCTTCAAGTCTTTGTTTGACAAGTGAACCAAGTTCAGCTACAAGAATATAGGGGCTAATAGTTGTGTGGTTAGTAGGTAGTAGGTTAGTAGGGTCACCGCCTAGAAGTGATTTAAATGAATTTTCCCTGAGGACATATTCAAACAGAACCATGGTTTGGGTAGCATATAGATCACACTGAACGTTGGAGATATTTTATAGTGAAATCAGATGTTTAAGTAAATTTTTATTACAAAGGGTTTTGATCAAACCGAGCCAATATTTTGGAACTAAACAGAGGTCATATATGAAGAACTTGGTCGACAGTTAGTTCCTCGCGTTGAAGCACCCTCAAGTGTATCACGAACCAGAAACCGGGTTTCTTTTCCTTTACAAGAGCATTAATATCTTTAACATGCTTCATAAAGAGCCAAGTATCCCATTTAAAACATCCCCAACGGTTTATAAGTCTTATGGAAAGGCCAGGGATAAAAAATGGCAAATCTCACACATGGTCTGCCAGAATGGCAACCTATCAGATGTATCATATCAACGACAGTGTTAGTTTTCTCGAAGTAAAAATGTCCAAATGATACGGTGCACCTTGTTCTGTGTTTCTTCCAGGGCTTGTTTGCGAATACTTAGCCAGTGGAATTACATAGAGGAGATAATGTTGTTTTATAAACAAACTCTCTCTTTCGATCTCATAATTATTTTCATCTGTGAGGTCTAAAATTGTACTTTAAGTGTTCAGGAGACAGAAGCTCATTCCATTGGTGTTAAGTTGCTCATAACCATGTTGTCTTTTGTAGAACATCACAGTGCGAGTAAGATGCTAGTTGCCAAAAACATGATGCCCTCCGTGTTATATTATCTAACATGCTATTCCTTCGATTACTTCAAGAGTTGTGGGTGGGTTGCGGTAAAAAGCGTGAGACCGTTGTCCTTAAAAATGCTTGAGCGCAAAACTCTTAGGAAATATATGACCCGAAAGTTTGGTATGGTATGCCTCACTGTCTTGTAGAACATAACTATCCACTTATCCAATTACTGATTTAGTGAGACGTATTTTGGTCAACCAGAAATAGCGAAATGTGTTACAGTTTCTGGGAAAGACGTGTATTTATGTAAACGCAAAATATCTGCTGCTCCAAAAATAAGGAACCTCCAACAACAGAACAACTCTTTAAAGTACTGCATTGTGCTGGACCTGATTCACCTGCTGGTCCCTTCAGTTCGACAGATATCTAATCTTTTGTAGTCGAGTAGAGAACGCGCTACTAGTGGAATCCCATGGCTTCTGCCTTTGTGAATCTATTTCCTATGTGAACATACGCTTTAGGACGCATAAATTCAGTAAGCTAGAGAACTGCCCAGATGTAAAGACCATCTTAAACAGTTAAGAGTTGGTTAATAGAGTAAGCTGAATCAGCTTGTCAGGTTATTGCTACTTGAAATAAGAGGCATAGCGCAGTCAAAACGTCACTCTGAACAGGCACATTAAATCGCTTTTGTCGCTCTGAATGAGCCGATTATTTGCAAAACTGTGAAAAACGTGAAGATGGGTAATTAGGGGCATTTGAGATCAAATCAGAGATTGTTGCAAAGCTCGGAAAGAGGTAGAATCGGGACAGCTTCAGATGGGCTTCAGGGCAGTAGTAACGTCTACAGTAAAGGGTAAAAGTAAATGCAAGACTATTCGAATAAGCAAAACTCTCGCTACTCCATAAAAGATAACACCATTTCCAGATCGAGCTAGGTATTCCTAATTTGCGCCATCTCATATAAATATGACTTCATGCCACTTCATATTGAACGGCAGTTTTGCCACATTCGAGTGATTTTTAATGGTATTGTCACTTTTGCTGGTGAAGAAATCTATGCTGAAAAACCTAGAATCACATTGACCCTTGGCTTCTCAACACAATCTAGCATGACTGGCAGGACGAAATCCCTACTGAATATTAACAGTTCTCCTCACACTATCATGATTCAATGATTAGCCCAGAAGTCGTCAGTCAATGAGCCAGTCCATAAGTGACTACGTACTGTGACTTACGTGATAGAAGAATGAGTGATGCTATATCCTGTCTAAATGAGGGCGAATCACACGGCTGATCAGCCGCTCGCGGCTGACGATTAAGGGTTCAAATACCGGCCAGAATGTCACGGGTTCGAAGCTCTCTCATAATTTCACGAGGTGCACGCTGGTGAACATTCCAAAGAAGAACGAAACAGCTATACAGTGCTCCTCGGATCTTCGGCACAAGTTGGCTTCATGAATATGATGAAAACTAAACTGGACATTAGCAAATCTCCTAATATCACGATCACTATTCAAGCGAGAATCGTTTGGAATGAGCAAATTATTGGAAAAACAAAGCACTTCTTCCTAAATCTTTTATTTTTCAACCAATTCTTATGAAGCCAGCAAAAATGCTGGGGCTGTGACTTTCAACATGCGAGAGTGAGATGGTAGCTTTAAGAAGTTCAAAACAACTCTGAAAATGCTTTGGAGGCTGACCAATGATCATGAAAACGCTGAGAACCCAGAACAAGACAACCATGTTTATCTAACTAAAGATCACACAAAGAATGCTGCAATGAGCGATGATCACTGGAGGATTACCCGTCCAAATTCTTATAAAACTGAAATTGCTGGTTCTACGCAGTGAAATATTTTCATCCTCAACCAGGCAGAATCTATTAAT